TAAACCTCCAGAATTCTCCAGGTGTGCAGTAACAAGTTTTATGAAGTATTTAGAATAAGCAAACATATTTTAAAACACAGTTGCTGAAACCAAGGACTCTTAAAGCAATGTAAGTTTGACTTCAACAAAAATAAGACCAAGTTTCTGGCAGAGTTGTTATCAAGATAACTTGAAGTTTAGGAACTTTGGGAGCTGGAGAAAGACTGGAAAACCCTTACATATTGCAGGTTACTTAGAATGAGTCCTCTGACTTTGGGTTGTTTTGAAATGCAGTCAGTGTTTTAGCTGAATGCCGTGTCACACACTTTCTGCCTCAGAGAAGAACTGCTCCATTAGCACACCAACCAAGTTCCTTTCAGATAGCAGCTGGTTGTAAGTTGCAGTTAATAAGAGATACTCCTGGAAAAGTATGAGAAAGAAGACAATGATCCTCTGGTGTGATGTGCTACAAGGTAGAAGTAATCCACTGTTTTCAATATAGGTTTTACTTCGTTGTAGTAAATGAATGACAAAGTGATTGGAGCCATACTTAGCATAAAGCCTTCATTCAATAACAACCACAGCCTGTACTCATCTAAGGCCCAAGGAGCCTAAAAGCTGTATGAACCAGTACTCTCTAGACAAATTAGTCCTCCATTACACCGTTTTTTCAAGTACACCACCACCTGGAAATGCTCAGTGAGCAGGTACAGATTCATAAGCTTTTTCATTCTTAATAGAATTGTTTATAGTTAGGAGACAAGACAAAATTAAATCAGAATTGTGAACAAGTGTATACCTACAGTTAACTCATTTTTACCTGGTTATGGTACAGTAGAATACACAAATAGACTTCTCATCTCCTCCACAAGACTCTCAAACTTCATTTTCTCAAAAAACACATACAAATTTGCTAAAGAGCTAGCAAGGATGATCTGCAGCAGATACATGTATGCCAGGCCTATAGACAGGACTTCTATCAGAGTTGAAATTCTAAAGCCATTGCCCCCACTGATTGCTTTGTCAGAGCAGCTGTAGGTAAAATACAGCAGTCAGGGAGGAAAAGGTATGTGAACTTAACCAGTGCAACAGAACAGGGACATTCTCTGCACCACCACTCTAGCCTGCAGGATGGAGGTTTTCTTAGTTGCAGGACATCCATGACAATTCTGGTACATCATTCACAGTCTCCTCTTACTTTCACAACCTGGAGAAAACACAGAAGTCACAAGTCCATTAATATTTTGAAAACCCTTTGTCACAGTTGAACCCGATGAGTAAGCAGCTCAGCACCACACAGCTGCTCACTCCCTCCTTCCCAGTAGGGTGAAGGAGAGTAGTGGAAGGGCAAAAGTGAGAAAACTTGTGGCTTGAGATAAAAACAGTTTAATAAGTAAAGCAGAGGCTGTGTGCACAAGCAAAGCAAAATGAATTCATTCACTACTTCCCATCAGCAGACAGGTGTTCAGCCATCCCCAGGAAATCAGGGCTCCATCACACCTAACAGTCACTTGGAATGTCAGATGCCCCAACTTGAACTTCCCCCCTTCACTCTTCCAGCTGGCATTGCTGAGCACATCATCTGGGGTATCCCTTTGGTCCAGTGGGGTCAGCAGTCTCAGCTGTGTCCCCTTTTCAACTTCTTGTGACCCACTCATTGTCAAAGCAGTGCAAGAAACAGATACAGCCTTGACTGTAAGTACTGCTTAGTAATAGCTAAAGCATCCCTGTATTATCAAGTGTTTTGCTCAGATTCAAAACACACCCCCTTACCAACTTTTCTGATGAAAATTATCTCTATCCCAGCCAAAATCAGTACACTCTCTCATTTCAGGGTTGTTCCAGTATTTCACTGAACTCAAGAGAAGGAAACGGAAATTGCCCCACTCCAAATTAAAAAAAAAACAACAACAAAAACAGTGTTAAGTTTCTTACCCTTGTAGCGCAACTTCTGCAGGCTGCACAAGGTAACTGAGCAGGAGAGAATTTAAGTTGTATCCAATTTGAATAGTAAAGATAGCAATAGAAGACGAGCAGAATTTTGATGCCCCTTTTTATGTTCTAATTAGATCTGATTATCATCCTTACATAGCTGAGGCATATTACCTAGTGCAACAATTCAAGCATCTTTAACAACTACTGAGGAAAAAAAGCATTGGCAGATAGTATTTACATGAAGTCCGTACCAGTTCCATCCCAAATATTTTCAAGTTGTGAAACTTACATGTTAAACATTTTGCCTAGAAGTAGAATATGGATCTAGGTCTTTGGACATATTGAGGTAGATAACTGCATTGGTAACTAATGCACTGTAACACTCTGAAGTACTTTGAGAAGCCTTCAAAAACAAGTATTAATCTAGAAGCACAGAGTGTGAGGTATAGAGGTGTCAATAGCCTAGTGTTTCTCATTACAGAAATCATATTAAGTAATTTTTTTAGGTATTTTGAAGATGAGAATAGCAATTTTCTACCAGTGGATTTTGGTCAGCTATTTGTATGGAAAAAAAGGTGCCTTGCTTGGTCTTTTTACAGTATTTTTATAAACAAAACCTCAGCAGTTAAGGTTCAGTACTAGCCTTTGGAGTCACATCTAGTCTGAAAACTATGACAGTACCAGTTCAATCACACTTGCATTCCATTTTCTAGAAGGTCAGGTAGAGCTGTGTTCATGACTCTGATTAGAAGCACAGTAATTCAAGCTAGGTAATTCTAGAAACCAATAGTTCTAAGAAGGTACTACATGAGAAACATGTAGTACCTACATGTAGGATATAATTGATCATATTTTCAGTTACTTTATAGGAATTGTTCAAGATTTATTTTTTTAAATAACAATTATCAGAGAAAAAACCACACTTTAAAGTACCTGGTAATGTAGAGACTATTCCAATTCAGGAATAATAAAGATTTTATGAAGTTTTTTAAAGCCATCCATTATATGATTTATGATCAATTTTACTATATAAGAATGGTAAAATTACTAGATCTTATGTTTCATCATATCTGCACTCTTCTAGCTGTGACAGTGTGTACTCCTTAGGATTTTAAAAATCCATCTTGGACAACCAGCTTTATAATTGAGATGTTTACCTCATGTATCTTAAGTATTTGAAAACTACTTGAATAATATGGAAGCTAAGATACTGGCAGATCTTGCAAAGCTTTTATGTAAAAAATAAGAGAAGTCTCAAAAGGGTCCAAGTTGTCCAGACTTGACTGAACTGGAGCATTAGAAAGCAACATGTGCTTCATGTATTCACAATCATCACATATCTGAGGTTGCCAAAGGCCAAGCTTATTAGCAATGCTTTGAAGTACCTGGTAACTTGTTCTTAAAACTAAAGAAATTCATGTAAATATGTATAATAAAACCAAGTTGGATAAGCTGCATGCTGAATGGAGACACCAGCACTAGGACAGTCTGAAGCATAAGGGACACCCTGCTACTATACACAGGACAGGGTTATTTTACTTACTAATCCCTATGCAAGCAACAAGGGAGAAGAGTAACTGGGTCAACGCTTTTAGGTGTCTAGCAATCTATTTGCAGGTCTGTTAAAAATGCAATGAAGTCCACCCACAGTTGCAGTTATTGCAAGATTATCAACTATGTTCCCCTATTAATATACAAGGAGAGTTAAACATTCTCAGAACAGCATGCTAGTTAAATTCTTGACACCCTCTATTGAGGGAGTTCTAGAAATAAAGCCCCCTAATTGGCTAAAGTCAGAATTAGCATGTTTAAAAATACAAATATTCAGTAGTCAAAACTTCAAGTTTTTTGCCTGTAGTGGTACAAACTAGGTTCCTTAGAGCTTTATTCTTCCTAAACTTCTCATATCAGAACTTGCCCAAGGAATTAAACTAAGACTTGAAGTAAAATCACCCTCAAAATGTATGACAAAAATATCTAATCTCAAAATAAAGCCAAGATCTTCATAGCAGTAACTATAGGAAGTTATGCCAGACAACGTGTTTTGGCATTTGCATGGTAACAGGGGAGCATGGTTTAAAGGTGGACATTGTAAAGCCAGTTACCAAGAAACAACAGCTTTCCATCAGGTCTGCAGTATATACCATTTCAGTTCTTACTTTAATTTAAATAAGCAGATTGCTGAACAGCTTTTACTTTGCATAGTTCTAGTCTCATTTACCAGTCAGGCTTTTGCACTAGCTACCTTAGTACACTGAAATTATTTCCTGCTGCTAAAACAAATCATTGATGCTTTTAAAAGTAGAAAAAGCTTGTGACCTACAGTAGTCTTAGAGTTCAAGCTTCCATTTTAAAAACTGAAATACTTTTATAGTATTTCATATGCTGCTGCTTAGACAAGGACATGTATATGACTCTTCAGTTCTCAGGCCACAAGAGACTGCTGAAGGCTGGTCACACTGCCTGTTACCTATAAGAAAGGCAATTCAGAAATGCTTCATAGCCTTTGTATTCAGTTTTGATTTAAAATACAAGCAGCAGGCTTCAACTACAAATACTAGGTTTCTCAGCAATTCTCTGAAAGAGATAACTCACATTATTAGCCAATTCAAGTCTCACGGGGAAGCAAAGCCACACGTGTTTGGGCTTCACAAGGGTAAATGTTAATATATATTACAGCCGAGTAACAGTGTGAGCCAGTGCTTCAAGGACTGTTTTGAAGTTTAAGAACTTCAGCTACATCACTACTGAAGGGCAGGTGATGTGACAAAGCTTGATTTTTATAGTATAAGCATTTAAAAGTAGTCCTAACAAAGTATGTAGGCATTTCACTTCTAATTTCTTGACCATTTGGTTAAAAAAGGAAGCAGGTATACAACTAAATGTTGAACTAATTTTCATTAAGGGAACACTAAGAATGGCAAACAAGTACTAAATTAACAAGTAATCCCATGTAAACCATACAATTTACCCTGAATTTTGTAAACTTGAAGACCAGTTCTATGCAGTAGCATGCACGTACACCCCACATGAGGAATAAGCTCAGTTTTATATTTTAAAAACAAAGACCACTGGCAAGATTAATACTAAAATGCATATTAACTTGTTTTATTGAGGCACAACAAGGCATTGTGAATAGCCCATACTTGAGGCAATCAATAGTGTAGTAAGCTGGACATTAATACAGTTTAGGGTAAGTGCAAACAATATACATTCACAGCTTTACTAGCAAGGCTACATCACAACTGATAAAGTGCCAAATTAGTGCTGATTCAGTACCCCAACTCCATGATTTCACCTTGCACAACAGGACCATCATTTTCCCCAATAATGGAACCACATATCTTCTATAAAGTCAGTAGTAAGTGCAAAGCTAGTCCCACCCCCCTTCACCAAAGTGTTTGGAGCAGCTCTTTTGTAAACATCGCACTGGATTTTAGTCCTGATAAAGGAGGTATCCCGAAAAGGTGGAGTATTTCCAGCTACTTCCATAGATGGCACCCCGATGCAGACGCAGCCAGATCTGATCTCCCTGGAACAGCTGCAGGACTGCATGGTTACTAGCTGTTTCATGATCAGGAGCCCCATCATTTGCATATGCTGACACTAGGACCTCTTCATTCTTCATAAGATTCACATACAGGGGAACATTTACAGCCAGTTTCAGCATGTGGAAGATGAAGACATATGTACCATTCACTGGACAGTTGAACCTACCAAGCTGGATATCAAAAGTTTCTCCAAGGTTGTTCAGCAACAGATCAAACACAATTGGCTGGTCTAGAGTTCCAGGAGCCAAGTTAGATGTTCTAGCAGCTGAGAAGGCAACTCTCATCTGCTGTGGGAGCGGGTAGACATGCACTGGTAGTATGGTGGCAGCTTGGCTGGTCACTGGCACATCAACAGGGGTGATGCTGCGGGAGTCTCCCTGCCCAGAGTCCCCACTGTTGAAGGTTTCGTTGTCTCGTTCTGGACTGCTCACCTGAGAGGAATCACTCCACCCTGCTGTTAAAAGATGACCAGCAACAACAAATAAATACTGTAACAGAAGCACACCCTGAAACCTGCAGACAACTTTAAGCAGCATGTGTACGGGCTTTGCAACAGGTTTGCCTTCCAGTTACAGAAAGTTGTGAAAGGACCCCCTCAAGAAGAGGGCCTTGAAGCTGGTTCACATTCATGACACTTGCATTCAGCAAGATGGACCACAATAACTATGAATGACTTCTCATGCTTTTAAGGAGGAGAGCAGTAGCTCACAATAGCTGCAGAATTTGCCCCATTCATTACCATAAAAAAGTATGCTAAATTCCAAGTGGAGATAATGTAATTTCTGAAGAAATTGACAAAATTACCAAGATTCAAGTAGTTATTTAGTCTCCTTCAATACCTGAAATTCCACTTCAAGTTACCTCAATACTGTTCTTCTGGAATTGCATCATTTGTTGGTCATATCAACTTATGATGCTATAATATTTTTAATCTGAAGCACTACAACTTCTAAGCTTTCTGCACCCCACTCCCCAAAATCAAGCAGTTTCTTTTCATAGATTCCAGTTAAAAGGGTCTAGAATTAAAACAAAATATCTGAAAAATTTAAAGCAGTCACCCTTAAGTGGCAAGCCATTGTTATTTCCACTGCAAAAGAATACCCCTTATGGTATCAAAGTAACTTTTATTAGATATCTTAATGCTAACGAGTACATCTGTCAACTGTTAATTCACCATCATATCTTTATTTTAATTCTCTTCAGAAGGATATTCTACAAGTCCTGACAGAGAGGACGTGCTTCATGCTAAAACACTTTCCATGTGCCGTAACTTCCCTTTACTCTTCAAAATAGCAGTCTCACTTTTCACCTACAGCTGTAAGTCCAGCTTCTGCCAGCACATACGGTACAATTAAATCTTGTTTACAACTCCTCCAAATACACATTACTTGTGCTTAGATCCAAACAGCTAGTCTTAGCTATTTTTTCAGGTTTTTCACTTCAGCATGGAAATACAGAGCAAAGCTGTATTCCCAAGCTATTTTTTATAGAGAAAGTCATCTTGCAAAGTTTCCAGGATCTGAAAGCTTACCCAGAATAATGCAATAAAAATAAAGAAATCCAAATGCAACAAACCCACTGTGTTTTCCTAGTCAGTTAATTTGTGAAGAAAATTCAGTAAGGTGCCATTGCATGTGACAACATCAAATTGAGCATAGTGAAACTAAATCTGCTGCTATGCAATGCTGTCTAAGAACAGTTCCTAAGCTTCCATCTACCTTGGTTAATTTATACCAAGCCTGATTTGTTTGATCAGTGATAGCAGTTTCTCAGTATTTACAGTAACACTCCAGTTCAGTATCTGCTGCACCCAAGTTCATATACATACCACTGGGAACCTTACCTCTTGAATTTGCTCGAGGACCACTAGTTATCCCTCCCCTTTTATAGCACTGCTGGTAATTAACATCCTATGAAGTGAGCAGAAGTATTAGTAAGATGGCTATAAGCAAATATGAAAATAAAGAGGGCTAATAGACATTATTATTTCATTTGCACAATTAATTCAAGCTCTAGCAGAGACAATGATGGAGCTCAGAATTAAGATGTACATAAACAGCCTTATTTATGGAAAATTTATCTTTACACTAGTTTGCGTGAAATTAAAGAACTATTTCAATGCCAGCTGCAGCAAATTTGCTTCCGAACAACATGTTCAATTCATTAAGAAATATGTTAAGTCTCAGGTCTGACAGAAGTCCATGAGTCTATACAAAAGAATGCATTCATTTCAAAGCTGAAGACCCTCTTCCATCAGGAACCTTTGCTTTCTTGCATGTTTTTGGATTTATTTTTTTGCCTAACATTCTCAGTCATTCCATGTAAGAGTTAATTATTTTATACTAGAGAAGCATTGAGAACCAACTTTATAATCCATAGTAAAACAGACTACACCCTATTTGGTATTTGTTTGCATTTCAGAGATTCCCTTCAGACTAAAATCAACCTGTCATACAGATTTTCTGTTTGAACTGACTTCCTATTCCAACTGCTGTCTACCTTCCCAAAAAGAGTTTTATCTAAGAAACAAAGATAACCTCTGGCTTGTAAGGAATAGTAAGATAATGAAAAAGCTACAGTATTAGAAGACTTTGTTCCTGTACAGTGCTCAAGATGCTACTGGAAGCAAAGCCAATACTCACCCTCTGAGAATATGGCATTCCAGCATAATCTCTACCAGGGAACTGCAGCTGGCCATAGCTGCCATTAGTTATTGAGGCCGACCCTCTGTAAGCATCAAAACCTGTTCCAATAAAGTTGATTTAGTATCATTCATTGTTAGGTTCACAGTACAAGTCCAGAATACAACTAGAGCTCCCTTTTGACAATTGTGTACTAAGTTATGCAATAACACATCTACTCCTTAATTCAGAGCAGAGTCTCACTACTCCTGTAAATAATGCATTTCTTTAGCTCCTCAGAACTAGGCACCATGGATTAATCAAAATCCATTTTTAAACAAATTAGCATCAGACCTTAACAATTGTCTTTGATACTAATGGGACTTCATGTGACAGTGGAAAAGCTTGCTAAATTCAGAGACAGGATTTAACATAGAATTAGAGATACTCACTTTTGCTATGACAGATCCTTAGCTATTACTGTTACACATTTAGATATTATAGTATCTAGCCTCTTTAGCCAATACACAGTAGCTACCTAAATGGAACTGCAAGCAATTCAGTATCAGACACTACCAAATCCTTAACTGCTCTTAAGGCAGAACTATACAGTTCACTGTCTGGTATGTGTTCCAGCAAAGTATTGAGCAGTCAGTAACAGAAACAGCTATCACAGACTAAGTGCCCTTCCACTTCATAGTGGGATAGGTCACAGCTACCAGCTACTTTGACCTGCTATCTGCTTCAAGTCCATTTAAACTTTCTAGAGTACTTTGGCTAGCAGTAGAGGAGCAATTTATTTGCAGGGCCCAAACAATCCTCCTTGTAAAACTCTTCTTTCTGATATTAATCCAGAGGGCTATCCACTACTGCCAAATTCCCCCATCCCAGTTTCTGCTGGTAATATTAAAATCAGTAGTACTAAGCACAGAGTATCTTGTTTCAGGCAAATACTGCAATAAAAGAACTTGAGAAAATACCTGCTCAGAATGTTAGAGAGAGATGCAAAGAAAGAATGAAGGGGTAAAATGTTCAGAATGATAGAAGAAATAGCAAGCAGAAAAGTCTGTATTATTAATTTAATAACTTATTAGTAAAAGCTTCTACTTGCCTATTCCAAAGAGTTATGAAATTGCTCTGCCAGTTCACCTGACACCCAAAGCACAGGGACTACAAAAGTCAGAAGGAACTTCCTTAAATGCAACAACGTAAGACCACATTCTCTGCACATTGCTCTTCAAGTCTTGCTTTAAGAAGCTTTATATAAAACCTAAATTTAATACCATGTTGTATTAAATCATGTTCTAGTTAGATTTTGTTAAGGTGATAGTAAATAAAGACATACCTTTGTATCCACCAGGGGAACGATATGAATTAGCCAGTGACCTTCCACCTCTTGCAGATCCTCTGACAGACCCACGACTGTTAAGGTAAGGCTGAGGGGGTCTGGGAATAACATTAGTCTGTGCTGGATAAAAGGCAAGGCTACCATTGCTAACAGGAACAGCTCCTTCAGGTTGATAATTCACTGCTTAAAACAGAAGGTACAGATGAATTCAAGACTTGTAGAACTCTAAGAAGACAGCACATCTAAAAGGGAAGCAGTTCAGAGACTAATTAAGCTGCTCTGAAGATCCTGTTTTTGTGCTCCTTCATTACTCCAAGTTAATTGGGGATGCTTCCCTTTGTTCTGTATAATGTAATTCTTATTGAGATATACTGTAGACAGGCCAGGCTCAGTGTAAGCCTCTAATACATTCAACTAGATTTAGCTGCATAGGTCACAGCAAGCTGGCTAGCAGCATCAAGAACATAAATAAGCTAGAATAAAATCAAACACCACCTGATCAAGAATTTTCACTTAGAACCACTTTTTTTACTAGCAAGACCTTGCTGGTCTATTGGATAAATTATATCACCTCAACTGTTGACATCCTCCAAAATAACTCAGTATTACCTAAATAAGCAATGAGACAACTGTGAAAAATAGATACTTGGGTTCAGTCTCTTCAACAGACATTCCTACCACACATTAATCAGTTCAACCCCAAGTAACACGTATTCAATGCTTTTCACTCAGGGTGGTTTACTGGTCAGCTTCAAACAGACTTTGCAACCATGAATATATTTCCACAGGACCACACCTTGTATCAATCCAAAAAGCTTAAAACTGATCCAGTGACAGTCTAAACCCCTTTCTGAAGTCTGTGCAGTTACTGCACAAGATTAATACAAAAAATCATGATGTTGCATCAAAAAAGCTCTATAGAAGGCTGATAATCTACTCTCAGTGATGAGAAGGAGCATTTAAGCTAAACATGCTTTCCTGACTTAATTTGTTTCATTTGATTTAATTAATTTCCTACTTAAATTGTTCTTTGGAGTTCTTAGTCTTCATGTGTCCCACTGACTTAACACAGTATCAGTCTATTTCTACTATAATTTCTATGAAGAGTCCTATAGTAGAAAACCAGTAACAAAGTAACATTGAATCACATGATTAGATATAATCTTATAAATCCAGATTAGTAGCTGTCAGCTTTCTTTTATCCTGAAACCTGCTTCAAGCACATTTGGGGGCTAGTCTCACTAAAAAGTCTTCATGTCAGCTACATAAATTCACTAGGTATAGTATCTGAATGTCAAGCAGGTCAGTGTGTTGAAGAAGTTCAGTATTCTTCAAGGTCACAGACTCAACCAGCTAATCAAGTCAGCCTTGGTAAGAAATCAGAGCTATATAAACAGAAGAGGAGGATTATCTTTTGCTGTAGATTGGGGTGTCATCTTTTATCTACTTCCAGGCTAAAAGCACATGCACAAATAGTTCCTGTAGCTCAGCTGATTCTCAGTACTTCATTGAATTACAGTAACTTGTGACTGAGGCCTCCTAGTTAGGAAACTAGCCTTCCTAGGTAATAAAAGCAATAAACAGAGCCTAATGAGGATCAACATGGATCTCTGCTACATGTTTTAATATGAAAGCAGGCAGATTTAGATTAGATATTAGGAAAAAAAAAAACAAGGGTGGCAAGACACCAGAACCCGTTGCCCAGAGAAGTTGTGGATGCCCCCTCCCTGGAAGAGTTCAAGGCCAGGTTCAATGGGGCTTTGAGCAACCTGGTTAGCAAGTGCTGTCCTTGCCCATGGCAGGGGGGCTAGAACTAGATGATCTTTAAGGTCCCTTCGAACCCAAACCTTTCTATGATTCTCTAAGCTTCAACATCACAAGATACACCTGGGCTGATAAGTAGGAGTGGCAGACATGATCTGTCTGTAACATCTAGAATGCTTATCTCTAACACAGTAAGATGAAATATCCACGTGAAGATTTTGGCAAGTACTAGTATCACTGAGATCAGTCACATTTTACAGTAATTACATGGTGAGCTATAATTTCAAAGGAAAGATACTAGCCCAGTCTTAAAACATGAAAATTTAAATCCTAAGCAGCTCCCAGATTACATATTTTAGTCTTATAACAGTAGCACAAAACACTTAAACCATTCTGGGTAACTCACCTCAGCACAGAAAGCTTATCCTGACCCTTATTAAGTATTCTGAGATTCCCAGCACTGTCGCAACACTAGTGTCTATTACCAGAGACCAAATGAATGGCTCCAAATCAAGTATTTATTACTGCTTCAATTCCAAGCGAACAATTGTTTTGACTCTCACATGTACCACTGCATACGTGAGTTTCCCAGAGGTGGAAAATTCTGTCAGACCTATAGGTGACACTGTCTCTACATCCAGTATAGAAACAAGTTTAAAGCAGCCTTTCATCCTACTAGCAGTTCTGAAGGTAGGTTTACATACCACACCATCAACTAAGAACAGAATTGATGTAACAGGTGCTACGTAACAGTGGTTCAGAATTACAAAGTTAAAAACCTGAATATACCTACAGCACATGTTAACGAATTCAAATACTACTCTAACCTGCAGAACTTCAAAGACTACTTGAAATACAGAGGCAAGTACAATGCTTACCTGAAGACAGAGATTCTTGTGAAAGAGAGCTTTGTTCTGCAACATGAGAAGATTGTAACTGGCACTGAGGAAGAGTCTGTGTACTTGCTGTAGAGAAGCTCTGGTTATATCCTGTCGAATATGAAGACTCCTCTTTAATGTCCTGGTCTTTACGTGGGGGCAGTGGTGCATTCACTTTAAATACCTACAACATATTTCAAGACAAGTGCTTAACACTTCCAGCTCAAGTCTCTGCCTCATGCACCACCCTACTATGCTGTGGTTTAAACCCCTATCACTAGATCAGTTTTCTAGAACACCATTTCTTAGAAACAAGCAAGAAGACTGTTACAACCCATCCTTTTTCTTCTCAGTAAGCTTCTATAACTTACTCCTATTATGTAGCTACTACCTAAGAAATTTAGCTTGATTCATCACAGCTACCATGTTTGATCAAAAGAACAGCTATCATACAATAAAGTGTCCTGCTTCTATGGGAAGTTAACTGTTGGACTATCTGTCCTACATCTTTTGACCTGAAGCTGGGACAGCCTACACTGAGAGGAAATTTCACGTTTTGGAAGAATTTGGGTCTTCATACCCATTTTGGAACCTCCTGCAACTCTATTGTCCACCCAGATAAATGCCATATTAGATTGCCTTCATGACCTTTGATAAATTGAGCCTCAAGTTTTCTATTCTTAAAGCTCCCACAACGTAAACATATAATCCAAGTAACAGTCTTAAATTCAAATTTTCATGTTACAGCATGGACAGGGTGTTACCCTGTAGTTAAATCTCATCAATTCAGTCAAGTTCAGTCACTTCAGCAACTGTATTGCTTTATTGCCAATAACCCGAGATTACTAGAATTGATGCTGTCAAGTGACAATTAGTATTGAGATAAAGTAGCAAAGAAGTCCATTTTGAGTAAAGGGATCTAATTTCATATTAAGAGCTGCCAGCAGTACAAAGTCTATAGGTGTATCTAACTGTTTTCCAAGACTATAACCTGTCTTAAAGCAGGTCAAGGCAAGACTACAGCTAGATACAAGCAACAGTTTCACAGCTTGACAGGTATTATTTGCAGAAGCCTCTATAAATACAATGGGAAATGAATACCTCTTCCAGGGTCAAGAAACCCAATGTTTCCTCTAACAGGGAATCAGCACTGAAAACCCTCATAACACTGAAGTATTGAGTATAAAGCTTGAACCATTATAAAATAAAAAACTCTGGTTCTGATTTGCCAAAAGTGATCAAAGTGATCCAAAGCAATTCTTCTGAAAAAAATTGGAAGATGCTGTGCGTCTTGACTACTTGTAGCAAGTGATCTACTTTTTCCTACCAATGAGTGTTACAGGGGAATTCTAATAAAAGTACTTGGGCTACAAGAAGAACCTGCCTTTAGTTTTACATAAGCACAATAGAGGCAAAAGCGTGTTCAGACATCTGAGGCTTCCATGGCTGTCACCATCCTCACTATTTGGAAAGAAAGAATCTGACTTGCAGCTATCTACTGAAATCCAATGGCTGTGCTTTCCTGACAGCAATGAGAATCTAAACTATGGAAGAAAGAAAACCTTGCACCACAAAGCTAGACTGCCATGTCTACAAGAGAAATTAACATCCTACCAATTTGGTGACAGATATTTGCCCCAAAATCTGAAGAGAACTTCAACTTCCCTGAAAACACCAGAGTCAACACAAGTAAACTTTCAGTGATACCGTTTTGGTCAAACACACTCTGAACAGACTAAAGTTTAGATCTAATCAGAACGACTGAAACCAAGACCCCACATTTATATCATGACAGATTGCTTGTCTTATAGATTGGGTCCCCAGAAGGACTCTGGTTATCTTTATCATAGCATATTGCTATTTCTCCACTTGGATGAAAAAATAACCTAGTCAGTTAGCATCATTTAAATAGACCTTGGTAAGAAAGAACCACCTCCCTACCACCATTTGCCTTATTTATTATATATATAAATTTCTGTACCTCTGCAAAAGGTTCTGCTTGAACCTCTTCTACAAATACACAACCAAGGAGAAAAAGCTATGTTAGTGATTTAATACAGGCCACACCAGGATGTTATATATGTTTTAGTTAATTCCTATCCTGTGAAAAATTATTACCTACTTTCTTCCACCAAAACCTACCACATATGTCTCAACACTGCAAGATGCAGATAGTCCAGCAAGTTGTGGAACTGCACTGCTACATTTGTTACAATTAAAAATGCCTTTAAAAAAAATGATCTATCAGGTTCTGTTGCATATTAAGGGGAGCCAGGTCCCCAGTATTAGCATTATTGTCAATTTTTCTTCTGTGGCCCCAAGTTGTACACTTACAGTCTGCATAGCCTGAAAGGGAGCTGCTGTTATAGTGACAGAACTGCTACTTGCTGGAGGAGACTGAAAGCTTTGCGCTGGTGCTACTGTTGACATGGAGGTGCTTGAAGTAGGCAATGATGACTGTGGCTCACTTGGGAGAGGAATAGTTGCCTGAGGGAAGAACAAATGTAATGAAAGGTCACTGATAGTTATCAGGCAGTAACAGAAGCAGTTAATTTGTTCTAAAGCCTAGACTGACAAAAGTCAGCGGTTTCTACACGATGACATTTGGACATAGTAGAGCTACAAAATAGCTTTTGCTTACAATTTCAAATCTTGCTGTGCATTCTCAGCAAACAGTACTTCTATTGCAGTCTCTGCTGATTAAGTGAAATGTGGCTATCAGCTACTATACATACCACTCATTGTAATAATTTCACAGTAAAGAGATGTTGGGTAATTTTTTCCCCCCACCAAGGAAAGGCAGAATGCCTTCTGTTCTGCTTATTGGAAGATGATTCTCTGGCTGATATTAGAAGTTACTTCTCCTTTTCAAAGGAACTCAAGAGAACTTTAGGGAGGTTGGTTTTTTCCCCTCCAGACTTGATCAATCACGTTTCAGCTCAGAAACAATGCTGAGTTGTCCAAAGTATTAACCAGAATTAAGTCTCATCTGTGCAGATGGCGAAATAAAGCATTGTTTTAGAACACCAGTGTTTAAAGAAAACAGAAGTCAAAACCAATGTAAGGCTCCAGACATTTCAGCAACCGATATATTTAACGTAGCTGTATTTGTAATAGCTCACCTGGGCAATTTCAATCTTTTTAGGTATCAGTGGCTCTGAAACACGTGAACTTGTCTGATACAGTGGCTGGGAAGTAAATTTTTCAGTCTCTTGAGAAAGTGATGCTGATGCCTAGAAGCCATACACATACCTGCTATTACAAGTAGTACTGCAGAAGTGGATTTTGAAAGATCATGACAAATATTAAGCCCAAAGTAAATGTACTAAGTAGTATTCTTAACCAAAAGCTTCAATTAATTATCTTTAAAGATTCAGACTTAGATTATCCTTCTTACACAACAGGTTGTACAACTAGCCCTGCAAAATCAGATGATTTTAAGATCTATAAATTGCCTCAAGCAATTATTTATAATCAAGTCTGTGACACACCTGTTTCATTGAATTCTATGGAAAGACATCTGATGTTACCAGAAGTTTAAGCTCTCTCAAACAAGACTTCAGAGCCAAATTTTTGTTTGCCTTTGCAAAACCTGTGTGTTCTCTAGTTAGATCATATTTGTAATGCTAAGAGTTGCTTATGCTTAGATATACAGCCTAGGGCTAGAGACTACCACTCCCATTCTCACCATATATACCATCAGCTGCATCAGACAGAACTGCACTTGCATACCAGAAGAGTGCACTGTCACCATGGTGTGCACTCCCTTATTGTTCTGGGATCAAAGCTTATCTATTGCTTTCCATAAGAAACAGGACTGGAAAAGAACACTACCACACTTCAAGCCTAAGGTACTAGAGATATGCTGGACCCAAATAACTCCAAGTCCGTACAGTACGTTTACAAAAAAGCCTCAAATCATTCTACTAAATGAGGTGTTTTACATTATAATACAGCCCAAGTCCTCTGGATGCATATTAAACAGCAAAATTATTTTTTTCTTGTCAGTACAAGAAGTCTTACAACACTGTAGAAAGAAGAGAAGGCATCAAGAAGCAGGCCAAAATTGCTGATTTAAGAGGCAGCAAGACTATATCCTTGTCAAGATTGTTAAATTCAACTATTCAGTAGGTTAAGGAATAGAGTAAGTTACATGCATAGTATACGACAGCCCATACACCAGCAAAAAAACCCCAACATTTTAAAAGCATGGACATTTCCCCATTATAATCTACATACATTGTATTTGAGTCCAAAGAGTAAGACCCAGCTGTGTTTGTGAAAACAGCAACACTTAAAAGATCTTTAAGGCAACAATCTGCATAAATTAAAAGACTTTTCAGCTCTAAACAATATTTTAATTCTAGTGAAAGATTTAACTGTGCATAAATACATCTAAGAACACAAAGTCTGAGGTCCTGGCTGAACATCAGGATGTAAGATTTTCAGTATTTCTTCAGTTAGTGCTAGAGAAAGCATCTCAGTCCTTAGCTTGCACAGAAGTCTGATATTACAATATCCATCCTGATTTATGGGCCCTCTATGTTGTCATTAGAGGGAGTATTGTACACTGTAACTACAGCAAATATTTATACTGCTTACATGTTCCCACAAGAATACGCATCACACTTTCTAGCCTACATTTTTCACCTCACACCCTTCCCATTTCAAGAGCCAGACCATTCACTTCACAGTCACACAGTATTAGAGAGACTTTTCCAGCTATCTTTAAGTGTTCCAGAATGTAGGCTACACTATTGCTGTTACCTCAATTCTTTCCCTGTATCTTGTTCAACAATAGTTATTCAGGGAAGACCCCATCACTGCTTTCTGCTAGGGCTTGCTATCACACAGGTCTTTGAATGCCAGTGAACCCCAGGGTATATTACCTGTGGCGTTTGAGGTGTCACCAAGTCTTCAGTTTCAGAGCCAGAAAGTGTTGGATCAGCAGATGCTAGGGAAGTATTTGAATCATGCAATGCCATAGAGGAAGCAGCAGCCTTGCAAGAAAACAAAGAAGGTTTTGAAATATTACCTTAAGTGTTCAGTTTCACTGACACACTCCATGCACTTCCAAAAAACTCAGAATGCCTTGAATCTATGGGTTAAATATTCAAAGTATTTCAACCTGTCTTCAAGCTACTGTTTTACTTTGAGAAATAACAAATATTTGTTGCTGTATTTCAAGCAGAAAAGCAGCTAACTTAGGCAGCATTTGAGTGATCTTAGACTTTGCAAGCTAAGTTACATGAAATTTGTTACAAAACTGACAAGAAGAAAAGCAATGAAAACACTAAGTTTATTCTAGTGAATAACCTCTACTATTCCTTGGCTACAGTTCTGCCCCTTCAGGGCAGTCCTAACTTCAACTTACTTGAAGGGGCTGTTGGAGAAAATCACTGTGACTTGGAAGTTTCTGTTCTTTTGAAGCTGTAAAAAAGAATGCATTAAGCAACATTTAGTTTTAAATTCAAACATTACATATAGTTTCAGTGTGCACTTCTACTTTTTGAAAGTATTTAGCGTATGAAGGTGCATACACTTCAAATATTTAGACTTGTGTCAGTAAATTACACCAAATTGAAAACTTAAGTTTCTTTTTTGTAAAAGAGGACAGGTATTTAATGCGGAAAATATTTCGACCATAAGAGATACCCACTTTTCATATTAAAAAATGGGTAATTTGACAAGTTTATTACCCAGATACAGCACGTCAGTTCTGCAGCTGGGTTAAGATGCACATGCCTGTCAGCAATTTTACAAGCATTCTATTTCCAAGAGACACACCAACTTAAGCCACCTCCAGCAAAAAATAAGTAAGCAGCTCAAGCTGCCTGTTTTGTTGGGTTTTTTTGGCCAGGCATTGGTATTCATCATAATCAGACAAGCTGTTTTCACCAGGCCTGCTGATCCTACAGCCTAAAGAAGCTGTGTTATGTTTGCAAAACCTCAGACAGTTTATGCTTACAGATTACTTACCTACAGGACTACTTGCTGGAGTAACTGAGGGTGGTTGGGATGAACCAATGGCACTTGGTGAAGCTTTATCAAAATCCAGAATGGACTCCTTTTGAAAAAAGGATCAGTTGGGAAGAAAATAAACTCTAGATGCAAATGAAGCACTCATTTGATAATTTTGTTAGTTTATTAGAGCTAGATTCATTCATTGCAAATATGCATTGTCAGCACTGCTTTCCCTAGCTCAGTAAGAATTGAATCTTTGTGCTACAACAGCAGAGAAAAACATACTTGCATGAAGTTGTAAGTCCCTTGTATCTGAGTCATCAAATCCTGAAGTTTTTCCCTTCTCAATACTGGATCTTTTGGAAGAGTTGAAGTAGAGCAAAATTCGGCAGCTGGCTGATGTACAGGTTTAGGCACCTAAGAACATCATATTAAATCTTACACTGGAAGTAAGACAAGTTGCCTTATCCAATGTACTTCTAGAGCAACCTAGCAGTGATGTCTGTGGGCCAAGGAATTCTGTACTGTTACTGATATTTCCAGAATTAAGCTTTTACTTTGTTAAAAAAAATCAGCTTACTGTTGCCACAACTTGTTCAGCCACAGAATAATTCACTTCATTCCGTTTCTTACAGTCAAATATACAAAAGACATTTAGTGCAAAATGAGGCACCTCCATCTACGGAAACCCACATATTTAAACGGAATGCCAGAACAACCTTAAAAAACAAAGTTGCATCACTCAATGTTTTAAACATACTTCCTCCCAGCAAAGCCCATGTCAGCAAGTACAAATCTTTTATTAGGATGGTTTTTCCAGTCACTCGGAAAATACCACACCTAAGAGATACATTTCAAGGAGGTTACTGAGGATTAGACCAAAGCGCTTCCACTAATGAGCCAAATACTCTCAATGCACCAGCTACTGCATAAAGTGTTAACCTTTTCAAAGCTTGACATGAAAACTAACTTTGTAGCTCAACAAGGACTTAATGCAGGGTCTTATTACTTCTTGATTGTTTCAGATTGTCTGTTAACAGCTCATTGCAACTGGTTCTCACTTCAAGAAGGAAATTTTTATCAGCGAATAGGCAAATCTAAGGTATCAGAAGAAAAACAATAATTAACTCCTATAATAACACAGGCCCTGTTGTTTACGGAGTGACAATAACATCAAGTTGTCTATATAGTCTGGCATCTTTTGAAAACAGCTTAGGGAAGAGGTAGGCTTAAGCATTTTTAAACCATAATTTCTAGTGATTCTCTAAAGCTTTGCTGCTCTTGCAGCCAGAGGAAGGCAAATCTGAAGACCTTAAGTAGTTGTATTATTTCAACTGTCCCAAATATTGAGAGACACAAACATGTGAAAGCCTTTGCTTTCCTACAATACTAACATTTGTCTTTAATAGGAGGGTTACTACTTCAATATATTGTATAGCAGATTTGAGCATTCATATGAAGTCATTAGAAGACTATATGGCAGAAGGATTTCTGTGCCATGACAACTGTCAAAACAAATTTATGAAGTGCCTTTCGCCCAATTTTAGGACAAGCCATCTCCTCTTCAACAATTACCTGAAACTAATCACTAGCATTTGTAGAAATTCCAATAGCATGCACAAGGAAGAACCCTGCAGGGTTTACTGAGCTTCACAAAGTATAACCCACATGTGTAGCACATCATTAATTCTGAAGGACTCAATTTCTAACATCTATGAGGCCCAGACAACAGCTACCTGCTGAGCTGTGAGCAGCTTTATTCTAGAGCTAGAAGAGTGAACCTTCACATTACTCTATCTTAATCAGAGTATCTGATGCGCAAGCTCTACTTAACTACTGATCACACAAGTTTGTTACTGTACAGTTTCTAGAAATTAAAAGGAATGAAAGCTATGAAGGATCTAAGTGCTGGATAAAAGGCAGAGTTGAATAAAGTTAACCTCAGCAAATTATAGATTAAGTTAGTGAGAACTGGAATCTTCCTGTCCATTACTTTATTAGGCCTCACAAGCTGACAATCTTAAAATACCTGTGATAGGTAATGCTTCTATTACTCTCTTCTTCCTCAATACAGTTTACTGACATGCAACTACACTACCAAACTCATTCTGCTTGCAAATGGCTAACAGAAGCTTCTCACCTTTAAGTCACCTAACCAGGTCAAGGCTGGTAGTGTGTAAAGTTATTAATATTTTCCACTAGCTACCCAAGTTAGACTTTTACATTAAACACAAACAAGTAGGTAGCCTCAAGAGCATGGAAGCAGGAGACTGCAGTGTTACACTTGTGGTTGCAAAGATGATATCATCTTCTGCATGACTTTATAATTTCTTAGTCTTCCTCTCCTTCCCCAGCTCTTACTCTGTGCATTATGCTGGTAGCATTCTTTACTTTAGAAGAGCAAGCATAGAGGGTTACATATATGATATTAGGGCTTTAAGTCAGGATAGAAACATTGAGACTCTCGATTCTGTAAAAGTTATTTTCTAGTTCCTGCATATGTTAAAATACACTAGTCCAGAAGTAGCTACAGTGACTATCTCATATTGAGTTACTGTTTTGCTGGTACTTAACGTGTTCAGAGTTAGAATGTTCAAGTGCAATAGAACATATGTGAAAAATAATCAGAAAACTAAAAGTGGTTCAGGCTTTATGCCTTTATAAAAGAGATGCTTTGAAAAAGAGCAGGTACTCGACATCCTGAAGATGGTTATAAACCATGTTTTCTTCCTAGCCTACAGTTAAATGCTGTTTCTGGAAGTCATTTCAAGCAGGTGGCAGATTCTGAGCTTGGTAACCTGTTAGGCTAGCCTGGCCTAACCACTGGTGGTTCAAGCAACATTAGTTTTACACAGCACTTAGGTTTGATAAACATTTTTTTGTTATGATAAATTAGACCCTAAACTTCAACACCACCTACACATGCAGCAAGATTTTTTTTTCAACCTATATCCAGAGAATTGACTAAAAATTGTGTTGAAAAACCTAGAAATTTTTAGGACCTGTTAAACCACTACAAATAAACACATAAAGGCACACTGACTGTTACAGAATTTTACTAGTCAAAATGCTAATACATAAGGTACAGCTGTTAAAAATGTTTATTTTAGTGACTGAAGGACTACTTATATCTAATACTCTAATATACATTTCAACCACCTCATCTAATAGTAAAACTTGTACTACACAGGACATCAATTCCTATTTAGGTTCATTAGCTGTGGAGTATTAAATGAGCTGGAATGGTGATACCCAAGCCGTAATCACAATAGTGATCACCAGCTATACCATGTAGATCTTAATTTGCTTTCTACTCAGAATGGCATTACTAGCAGGAATAAAATGGCACTGAGTAACAGAAAAACCCAAACTGTTCTGATTTTACACAGCACACCACAAATTCAGCTCTAGCCAAATTTGCTGGTCCACAAGTTGCATAAGCATTTAACTCAACCATTTACCAGGCTGGCACATCAGCTCACTCTTGGCCTTAGGCAAAGCTTCTTAGGTATTGTATCCCACAGTACATGAAGTTAAATAAGCATATAAGATCTCAAAACAAAACAGTTTATTAAAATATATCTGAGCTCTAACAGGTATTTCAGGGAGTAGAGACTGATTTCAGCTCCAGAAAGCAGTAACAGTGACACAGGCAATTTATCTACCATGCCTAGATCCCTGCACAAGGTCATTTATGTCCTCCCTGGGAGTGCTATGGATTCCACTACAGCACTGCACTGCCTCTTCATTCTTCATATAAATGAAGGCAAAACAAGTTTCATTAACCAAAAGTTTAATATATATGCAGTTAAATTAAGACTTTTAAAAAGTTATTATTGAAACTAGTTAAATTGACAGTACACTTATTCAATGTACTTTTGGTATTAAGATTTGTCAATAGCTGCTAAGCAAAAATATAGCCAGCTTGTGTTTCACTATGTCTACTAGGTAAATTGAAGTTTGAATACTTTAAAAATATGCTTTTTTAACTTAAATAGGTAATCCAGCTTAAGCAACCTTACATTCCAACATTCAATTTAGTTTAATTTGGCTGACACACACCTGCACATTACTATGAAGATTCCTAGGCAGGTTGCAAGTTTCTCCAACTGACTGGACACCCTCCTTTCCCCTTACTGTATCAAAGTTTTGTTCACCCCTTATGCCATCCATCTTTCCATCCTACACAAAAATAAAAGCCCCATCTCATTAGGAAGTATCTAGAATTTAAGTTTTAACTTCAATCCAACACCAGAAATTTCAAAGCATCTTAAAGTGCTCGAGACTATTCCAGTACAATCTGATGGTTTCAGTTACACTAATACCATGCATAGTTGAGTGCACAACACCTACTTGTGCTCAGAGCTGCTTAGTGTGAGGCAATCAGGCTTTGTACCTCTACCACCATCACCAGTGGGCACAAGATTCTACTCAGCTTGAGTGTAAACACCTTAATCCCATTTTGTTACCCAGTGCTGCATGTTACCTACTCTTTTAATTTCATGCTCAATCTTCTGTTTGCGCTCCCGTCTCTAGGCACAAAAAATTCAGTTATGCCAGGTTTATTGACAAGACTTAAGCTTCATTATTTGCTATGAGTAATATGGAGATAATTGATTTCTACTTTCTTGCAGAAAGAAGGCAGTAGTACAAACAACATTTTGTACAGAAGAATTACTCAATTCCCCATTTTCCTCCTGAAGCCTAATCAAATACTGCTCTTAATGGCGTAACTGAATTCTGCTTTGCCCATCATCTCACCCACTTAAAATTGTTACTATTTAAGTAACAGGTGAGAAAGTGATGTAACCAGAGGCTAGCAGCCTGCTCAGCTGTAAGCCCTGCAGTGACTTCCATTTTACACTTCTAAAAGTAACTGTGCTATCATTAGACTCTCCAGGACAGCAGTATGGCTTATGCATTCATCTGGAAATACATATATAAGCCCCTGTTCAGTTGGCATTGCTTGATCTAGATGTCAGATCTCTCTTGAATCAGCAGCTATTTTAATCAAAAGCCTAAAAAGTTACTGAAGTGCTATTTGCATGCAGCCACCAACAAAGTATTTGATCCCTGGATGAGTCATACCTGCTTTGCACTGATAACAGTGGACAGAACCAATAGCTGGGGATGAACTAGGTTAATTCTTCTGTCTTAGGCATAAAGCAGTTATTCAAGGCTCAAACACAGCAATACTGTGTTGATGGAAAAAGCAAAGCAGGCCACCTTGCTATTCAAATATACATCTTAACTGCCAGAATTATTTTCCCCCAAGAAAGAATTAAATGGGAGTCTAAGTACAGGCCTACAAAATGCATCTTATAAAGCCTCTGCTAATAGGTAGCATTAGTCCAAAACACTGCTGTGAAAAGCTTATGACAGGTAATACTACATATGCCAACTCACTTCTTTGGGTTCCATATCAAGCTTCTTTGGCCCCATCTGCTCCTTTGACCCAACACTTGCAGCTGCCCAGGATTTCGGAGGGTTCTGTAACTGCTGTGATGACACTTGCTGCTGCCTCTCAGCTTTTTCCCAAGCCTCTCGAGTCTCCTGCTTCTTTGGTTCTGGCTCCTCCCTAACATGTGCAGCCCAAGCCTTCACAGGCTCCTGCTTCTTTTGCTCTGGCTCTTCCCTAACAGGCATTTCCCATGATTTCACAGGCTCTGGCTTCTTTTGTTCTGGTTGATCCCTAGTTTGGGCTACCCAAGGCTTTGGAGATTCCTGCTTTTGTTCTGGTTCTTCCTTAACTTTAGTTACCCAAGGTTTCAGCAACTCCTGCTTTTTCTGCTCCTGCTCTTCCCTAACTTTTGCTACCCAAGGCTTAGGCAATTCCTGTTTCTTCTGGTCCTGCTCTTCCCTAACCTTTGCTACCCAAGGTTTGGGGGACTCCTGCTCTTCTCGGACATGTGCTATCCAGGCCTTTGGAGCTTCTTGCTTCTGTTCTTCCTCCTCAGCACGGGTCTCCCAGGGTTTTGTAGACTCACGCTTCTGTTCCTCCTCTTTAACATGAGCTTCCCAAGGCTTTGGAGAATCTGGTCTTTTTGCTTCTTGCTGCCTAACACGAGTTTCCCAAGGCTTTAAGGTCTCTTGTTTCTGCTTCTGTTCCTGCTCTTCAATATCAACAAGCGTTTCCCAGGACTTTGGAGGTTCTTGCTTTCTAGCACACTCAGCTTCCCAAGATTTGGGCTCTTCTGGCTTCTTCTTGATAGTGTATTCTGCTTCAGGCAAATAACGCCTGTTGAGAAACTATATAGACCAAAGAAACTTAATGGTTCCCAAGAAAACATTTTGCTACTACAGTTTAGGTCAGTTAAGTTTGGACACCCAGCTACTGAAAATTTTTTACTAAAAGCAGAGCCTAGACAGTTCAAGCACTAGCTGCAGAAACTGTGTGGACAGCCATGACTTCATCCTACAACACTGCAGACTAGCTTTGCTTGGCATGCCAGAGGCATGAAAATATCCTGAGCAGTACAATAAAACATACTTGATCTGAATGAATCTATTACCTTTCTTCTCAATACTAACTGACATTCCTAAACAGTAACAGTACTAAGTTCAGTTGTGATTTTTATAAAGGTAGCTCTCCTCCTAAGCATCTAGAATGCCATGGGACTATTAACAGACATTCTGCTAAGTGTAGCAGCACCGCCTTCACCCAAAATCTTTAACCCTCTGGAACTCAAATAACCAAATATAACCACAATTCATAAGGGAGTTTAAATACTAAAGTCATGATATTCTAAGATTTAGTACCACTGGTATTAACTCCAGGCTGAGTTTACTGTCAATAACTCTGAGAATTCAATGAAGATGTCCTGAAGTTTTCCTGAATTACTACTTTGTCATGAACAGGAAGTGAATGTGAAATAAATAATGTGCAAAGCTCAGTCTGTTTTTTCTGACCAGTCACCAGAAAAGCTCTGGAGTCAGGTAATAGTTATCAGGTTACAAAAACTTGTTCTGGAGTACACCCTCTACCTAGGGGGATACCTGGGAAACAGGGATTCAGCATATTAAGAACCAGTATCTCCACTTAGAAAAGGGCACACCTCCCCACCTTTTGAATTAAGTCTAATGGGTTTTATCCTATTTCCAGTTGAAGCCTGAGTACTCAATTAGGAGTCTGAAGGGCTGTTGAAACAGGTCTACATACCCCTGTGAACTCAAGTCTGTCTTTGGATTCCTACTTTTCTGACAAACAGAGCAAGAACTGCTTCATTCTCAACCCATCAATATCAAGTCTACTGCAATCAGCTTGGTGTTTAGATACAGCTTTAGTAGATGTGCATTTTCTATTCCACAGTAGACAAGATCAGTGTGTTTTCACCCTAAAGGCTGATGCTTCAGTTTATTCAGGAAACTGCCAAAGCATTACTCTGTTTCATGTAATCCTGCCCCACTTATCCCAAAGATCCTCAGAGTAGTCATTAATTTGGGGTTAGAAATAGAAATGCTACCAAGTCTTCTATGCTTCTACATAAAGCAATACCTAAGTTAAGATTTGTACCTCTTTTTGTAATTTACTTTTTTAAATGCAGCTATGTTTCTGATAAACTACTATGAGCATTTAGCAGTGGAATATCTTACCTCCTGTGGCTGTATTTCAGACTTCATGAGCTCCATAATGGATTCTAGAGAAAGGATGTTAATTTGTTTCAATTGATCAAATGCAGAAAGGCATACCAAACAGTAGTAAGTCTTTAATTCTATTTAAATAGTGGTGCCAATAGCTAAACCAGATATTCTGAAAGCCCAGCTTGCCATTCAACATACTATTTAGACAAGCTTTTACTTTGACTTTATTTTACATTTGTAGAAATTCAGAATTAAGCAAAAAATACCTTACAGT